TGAAAGTGAAAGAGAGGAGGATCTGAGATGAGACACAGAAAAAGAATGTGAACCAACCAGATGGGAGGTTTGAAATAAACAATAACAAATGTTATGCAGTGATTAGGAGACTACTGTTTCATTTTGGAAAGTGAAAGTATTTAATAAAATTTTCAAGACAATTTGTGGTGAAATCTCCAAAGTTTCCAGGACACTTTGTTGTGCTGCACTGAGGGAAAAATGTGTATTTCATTCCCCTTTTGTTGTGACAAAACAAATGCAGCTGTTATCATTTTATCCCTTCATGTTACACTAGACTGTAACTTTGAAGAAAGAGATATTCTGTTTATTAAAATGTATTTACACTATCTTGTGTGCCAGGATGTGAAGACTGAATAAATCCTATTTAGTACACTACCTTAAGTCATGATAGTCAACTTACTGAGACTTAAAGAGGTTATGCTAAGCTGTATGAAACATCTAATGTTTGCATGTTAAATTCTGTGTATGTGCAGCTTCCACACATGCCCCACATTAGTGAGTGTCTGATGAAGAGGAGCCTGAAACCCACTGACCTGAGGGACATGACTGTGGGACAGCTCCAGGTCATAGTCAACGACCTGCACTCCCAGATCGAGAGTGAGTCCAAAACATCCACCAGCTCACCTTTATCCCTCTCTGCAAATACATGAGTATAGTATTTTGTAAATGTAGTTGTTTTCAGTCAGTTTATTTTTATTTTTTCCTATTTTATGCACGCCTCTTATTATATTTTACTACTATTATCATTTGTTTATATTGTTTGATATTTCCAAGACACAATCATTGTTCACTGATAATGCCAAGAAAAACTCTCTCACTCTCTCAGTATGAACCCTATATGGTGATAGCACTTTGACAGTAATTAGGTTGGAAATTTTGTGTGTGGTTTGAGAGAAGTGTGTCATGACTATGCTGAACTACTGTTGTTTTGTTAAACTTAAATCTACATAAAAAATCAAAATGATAATTTCTTAAGGTATATTCCACAAACTGTTCTAAAGTTTATGTATTATTGTATTGTATAAGTCATCAAACACCTGATACCAAAGGACCAGGTACGTTTGACTTGAAAATGCTTATCTTTTTTTTTTTTAATTCCAGGTCTGAATGAAGAGCTTGTACAGTTGCTGCTGATTCGAGATGAGCTGCACATGGAGCAAGATGCAATGCTAGTGGACATAGAGGATCTTACCAGGTGATTTCATGCACATCCAATACGTCAACAAAATGATAGAATCTATTGTAATTAAAGATATATTGATCAGAGCCAGAGCTAACTTCTATCACCATTTTAGGCCCCCAATCCTAGATCAGAACAGCAAACAAAAAATGTTTTGCTCAGTTAGCAAGCCATAACAAGACTGTTTAGAAACCACCTTACCTGTATGCATGACTTAGTATGATTATAATGTGATATAAATGGGGATTTCAGAAAGTATCAAAAAGAAATATCACCCATCAGGTGTTAAATAGGTTTGCACCAATCCAACTTTTTCAGTTCTAAAACTGATTTTGATACTACAGCTGTAATTATATGGCCATTCCCAATTATATGGCTTTTATCAACTGTTACTAGTGCAGAGACTGAAAACAGTATTTATTTTCTTTGCCCAAAAATAAAACAAGACAAAACTGATCCAAATGTGTTATATAGCTGTTATCTATTTTTCACGATACTATAGAACAACTTTTTATAAATAAAAGTATAAATATTATGACCAGTAAACAGTCTTATTATATGATTTTTTATGCCAAACTAGGTTATCAACTGAACCAATATTTGGAAGTTGATATCTGATCCAGGAAATTTTTCAGTATCTGCACCGTTATTAGATACCAGTTTCTGATTGGTGCATCACTAGTGTTAACTGTGACAGGACAGTCCTACTTTTTTAACAACATCAATTCAATTAGGGCCCTGTGTCATGATTGGAGAACCAGTGTTCCTTTGTGGCTTTTAGACAAATGTGAAGTGAAGCCATTGTGCACCTCTGGGTCAGATGCAACCATCATAGTCTATGTATCAGACAGTCCTGCTCTTATCAGAATCCGAACCAACTTTATTGTCCCAGAAGGAAATTTGTCCTTGAAAGTACAATCAGCTGTAAACAGAATAAACAAAATGACAATGATTCACTTAGAATATTTCAGCAAAGCAACTAAGACATGTCTTCTCTTGTAGGCATGCTGAGAGTCAGCAGAAACATTTGGCTGAAAGGACCCTATCCAAATAACTGGCCCCTCTGACCCTTTCTCCTCATCTGAGCTGTGCCCTGGCCCGCCCTGTCTGCAACTGTCCCATGTGTATCCACTCCACCCTCCAGGCTTGTCCTCAGTATCTCACTGCTGTCCCCCACTCCTCCTTCCTGTCCGCCCAATGCTCCTTATATTGCAGAAGCAGCACAGGTAGACAGCACTCCTCTCATTTGCTTCTGTGGTCTATCCAAGCACCGCTAAAGACAGTCGGGCACTTCTTACTTCCTGGGAGAAGAGGAAATCGTGTGTCGTCATGGATAATGTTCCAAGCTTCCTGTGCAGTGATCAGCCTTGCTTTGCTCTAGTTTATTTTTCAACTGTATACATTTGCCACTAAATTATAACTGTCAATGCAAATATGTGGGAAAAAATACTAGTGTAATAATAATTAGTTGAAAGTCATGCGAAAAAACAACATTGTATAGAAATAAAAGATGATTTTTTTGACACCATGGTCAGTTGGAAAATAACTTTCAAGTATTCTCAAGTCAATCTGTTTTTATTCTGCACAAATGGTAGTTTTCAACTGAGAAATGTTCTTTTGAAGGTGCTAAAAGAGTGTAAAGGAACAATGCCTGCCTTGTAGTGAAATCGTAGCTTTTGGTAAGTCACTCTTCAACATTTTGTGAATGTTGATTTTCGGACACCAGTCATTTGAAACAAATAAGTGTGTTAATATTGTTTTCATCCTACTGTATTGAGAAATTTTATTTGAGGGAAGAGATGTTTATGTACAGATATGTAAAATAAAGATCAACTTTGTTTCATACATTGGTTGTTTGTTGAGTGGAATCTTGGGTTTCAATAAGCTTCCTCTTTCACTAGAGAAATCATGACCACACTGGACACAGCCTGAGTCACTACTGTCTCAATACTTTTTATAAAGTGAAACTATGTCATATACCAAAACACATTACTACAAACAAAGATGAAAAGTGTAGACCCCCAGCACTGGTCTCATGTTGACTAACAAAGCACTTAGGATTACTCAAATTACTAATAAGTGGCTGATAGCCACATGTATTGTGAGAACTCCCCCTGTAGTGCCAGGGGCACTGGGTGACTACTGGGCTAAGCTAATTCAAGAGTCATGTCAAGTTTCATTCATTGGTCACCCTGATGCTGAACCAATGTGCAGCCACAGAAAGGCCAGAAAAAACCCATAAACCACTCTGTCTCATAGTTTCAGTGAGTTCCTGTCACTGTAGTGAGTGAATCACTTTCAGAAATATCTCATCCCCTAAGAAAAGTCAAATAACAGCAGTTAACCATGCAATTAATCATAGCAACATCGAAGCACTGACATTGTTGTTATAGCCAGTATCATTCATTCACACAATACTGAACCTGGGTTGCCGGTGCCTTAACCAGCATATAGAGGAGGAACTATATAAGTTTCCAGTGGTGGAAGAAGTACTCAATTTTGTTATTTAAGTAAAAGTACAGATACTGGGGCAAAAAATAATCAAGTAAAAGTAAATCATCTTAAGTGACAGTTTTGAAGTACCTGTTTAAACATTTACTTGAAGAGTAAAAAGTAAAAGTATTTTGTGCAGACCTAATGAAACTTCAAATGTATTGACTTTGATAAAGATTTGTGCAAAATTTTGTTCAACAGAAACAATTACATTTATTGTTTGTTTTTTTTAGCTGTTCTTATTTGTATATTTTTGTTTGCTCAAATTACAAATGTGTTAAAAAAATACCCCCTTCAAACTTTTCAGCAGGTATCAAACTATAATAAAAAAATACTTTTACTTTTCAGTCCTCTTTACAAATATAGTGGAGATATCCGATCCTAAGTGTATAGTATCCACTTTAAAATTTATTAAAGTAAAGTACAGATACCTAAAGTCTTTACTTAAGTGCAGTACTTGACTATTTTTACTTCCTTACAATCCTCTGCTGCGAGTTTCTCTCATTCCCAGTATATGGACAGCATATATTACTAAATATGAATCATTACAGAGTATTACATTAGCACTGACTGATGACTGGCTGCAGGTGCTGGGATTTAGGTAGTGAGGATTCGGTTCAGAGAAGTCCTTTTATTTAAACATAAAATGCTGGATTTCAGCGTCAAAACAGGCAACCGAAATGAAAGACCCGTGATGCTCATTCTGCTTTCTGATTGCATAATTATCTTGAGAACCAAATTAGCACATAAATAAATGGGGCATCGAGTTCAATGAGTATATCAGCATTACAAATGTTTTCAGTGGCTTTGTTAACATGCATACCAGAATCTTCTTATAATCTGATTTCTGGACCTTGAAGATTATAGCCTATAGGCTGGAGTAAATGGCATGCAAATCGCAAAATCTGATGTGAATAATCAGAGGAAATTATCAGAAAGAATATACATGATTTTGTTTAAAATATCAATGTAATAGTTTTATAACTCAAAAAATCTGACAATATTCAGATTTCAAACGTATTCGCAGCGAGTTATATTTGATTTGAATTTGTTACCTCGTATCTGGGGGCAGTTAAATCTAAATCTTACATTGACCTACAGTTCCTTTAAGGAAGCATAAATGTATAGCTTGGTTTGCAAATCAGTCACAATGTAGCCTAGTGTCTAAAAAAGCACCCTGGTGACGTTTTGCAATTGGCACAAAAATTCTCAATTAGCGCGGGAGTGCTTGTGATTGGACAGAAGTGGAAATTACATATTACGTTTTAGTTACGTTTTTAGCTCAGAGTAAATCCTTCAGTGGGCTGGAAGAGGGAATGCCCCAGCGGTGTGTCTGTTGTATAAAAGAGATGACAGGCATGGATAGCGAACTGAGCTGAGGAATCGATATTTGCATCTTACACATGGCTAACCTTCATATCTGTAAGTTAAGCACACATTGTTCATTGGAATAGAAGTATTTTGCATGGCAGTGAATAGACTTATTGTTTGCATCCTGTGTTTAGACTTTACAGGCTGCTTGCTCCTGCTGATGCGGAATTATCGCATATCTGTCGCGCATCCAGTGCGCACTGATGGCACAAGAGACAGTGACCAGTGCGCTACGCTCTTCAGAAGTTTACTGCTTGACGTCTCCGGTCTCCTAAAAAACGTGAGTACAAATAGCGTACACAGTAGGAAATAGCCGATGGCTGACGCCTCTTGCTTACATGTATTTAGATTTTTAGGAATAAAAATGGTCCTTCATAAAACTGCATGTTTTGTTGCAGGACGTTCTGTGGCATGGAGTGATTTCAGACAGAATCCATCCAACGAATTTTTCTGACACCGTGTTGGCCTGTGCGCCCGAGCCTTTGAAGGAGGTGATTGACGCCCAGGGTTTAACATACTCTGTATACTGTGTGTGTGTGTGTGTGTGTGTGTGTGTGTGTGTGTGTGTGTGTGTGTGTGTGTGTGTGTGTGTGTGTGTGTGTGTGTGTGTGTGTGTGTGTGTGTGTGGGGGGGGGGTGTGTGTGTGTGTGTGTGTGTACGCGCGCGTTTCTTGTTTAATCCAGTGTTCGTATTTCAATAGAGCACGATGTGCCGCACACAAAGAAGTGGATCATTTAATAAGGTGAGCTAATTTAAATGCTTGTAATCTAGTAAATTATAATTTAACTGAAAATTCAATTTCTGTGTAAAATCTGTTTAGAATGAATGTTGGAAGAACATTGTGAAGGACTTGACCCACTATGAAGCCATGATCAGCTCTTATATTAAACTAGAAAACCTCAGACGTCCACAGGAGGAGGTTCCACCTTTGGAAAAAACAGTGCAAATTATACAAAATCTGCTCAAGGTGTGCATCCAACATGTAAAAACAGTGCACTTAAATACACACATCCTAAACTATTGTTGCTCTTATTCTTACAGTCCTGTCCATGTACATCAACTAAAGACGCATCTGTGGAGGAGGTGAGAACTAACTGTCAGTGCATCTCTCTCATTGTCAATGCTTTTGTTTATGTTGTTTCTATATTTTGTCTCAGGATGTCAGTCGTTTGTGGACCAGGGACTCATACTCAAACAGACAGCAGATGTTGATGATGATGAGGGCTTTCCACATCCGAACCATCACATTTAACCGGGCTGTGGGCCATATGGCATCAGGAAAACACAAATGAACCCAAGACCCTTGTTGACAGTACTACATTTACCTTCAGATACACTGAGACAGAATAAGCTAGTTAAATGTGACACTGGAAAGACTATAAGGAATGTATCACATATTTATGTACTATTTATTATTTATTCTATTTATTAAATAAAGCATTTTATATATATATATATATTTTTTTCATACTATTTCCTAACATGTCCTCATGGTTGTAATAGCTCTAATTCTTTAACTTCTACTATGTCTTAACCCAAGAGAGCAAGAAAAGACCAAGAATAAAAATCTGTTCAGTCAATATATTTTATTTACAAAGATTTGGAAGGACTAACCTGAAATAATGCACTGAGAAGGAACCAGTGGATTTGACGTAAACGATATACTATATTCATACATAAAAGAACCATATTCCAAATAGCTTCACATTTTAATGAGTGCAGACTATGGAACAAGAAAATGAGAAGCCTCAAGAGGCAGTACTAAAAACATATACATGATACATACATATATTTTATTTGTAAATGAATAGAATAAAACACCGTACAACTAAAGAGCTAAAACCACTTGACAGCTATAGCACCCCAAGATCCACTGAGATTAAGACACATAAGAGCAAAGTTACACATTGTGTAACTACTCATGTAGCTGCACTAACCAACGACACTTAAGCAGTGGTGGATGAAGCACTCAATTTTGTTATTTAAGTAAATGTACAGATACTGGGGCAAAAGGTTATTCAAGTAAAAGTATCACATGAAAAACTACTTAAGTAAAAGTATTGAAGTACTATTTTAAAAATGTACTTTTTTTAAATTTTTTATTTTTAGAACATTTAGAATTTTGCTGATTTTAACTGATTCAGTGGTTTCTTCATTTTTCTAGCCATTTTTCTAGTCATTTATGTGTTTGGTTTGTTCAAAGTTGGGACAGAAACTCAAATTAAATGTGCTAAAAAATAAGTCGCGGCCATTTCAGCAGGTCACAAACTATAGAAACAAGAACCTTTTACTTTTCAGTCCAGATGTAAAATGTGGTGGAGTAGAAAGTACAGATACACATTCTCAAATGTAGTTAAGTAAAAGTCAAAAGTATCCACTGTAAAATGTACTTAAGTTAAGTATAGATATCTACATTTGTACTTAAGTCAGAGTTTGACACAAAGACAGAAATGCCACATGATGTAAAAAAGTATAAAAATAAATAAAAAATTAAGTACATTGCGAGGAGGGTAAGGAGTATTTTACAATAAAAACTGTATCAACAAAAACAAAATAGCTTCCACAGTTTGCAGTTTAAAACACTGCAGTAATTAGAATGTAATATACTGGCTACAAAGTGAGCTACTTACACAATGGCATTTGCCCTGTGGCAATGTCATTACTACCCCCAGTACCTATCGCTAGATACCATTTATTGGTCAATCTACAATCCTTACAAAAAACATTTTTACAGAAACTATAAAAATCAAACTAACACCATGTTTCTGTATTGGAGCATAGACAGTGCCAAAAAGGAAAACATTTGGTCCAACACTGGAGTTTTTCCTCCTGATTTTTATCCCTGATTGAGAAACAGTAACATCCCAGCAACTGTAACTCCCTATTTTTGTGTGTGACAGTCCATCATACCTGAAAAATAGAACAATGGTTATCATTACAAAAATCTCACTCTGACGTTCACATTGTGAACAAAAAAAACAAAAAAAAATAAGTTGGTCCACTTATTCTCCACATATTTTCAAATTTTGTGTTGCCTTCTTGAACCCTGTACACTTGCTTGAATGGATGTGCTTGTCTTTGGTTTTATGCATATAGATTGTGAAATATGCTACTTTGAACTCTTTAAGTCTATTTTACATTCTCATCTGTAATGGCAATACAGAGGAAAGCATTTGCATTTCAGACAGACTAACAACAAAAACAAAAACAACTTTCAAACAGCAGGTGGCAGCACTGAATTTTGTAGGATATCAAAAGTGCTGCATGGTATTTTGACATTGACATTTTCAATACTGGTACTATTACCTTCCAGTGTCAGTATGAATTCAATAGGTAAGTCGTCCAGGTCTTTGATGCTCCTCCACAGATGGGAGGGTGTGGCCTGTCCTGGACCCCTCCTACTCTTCCACTCCACCAGCATCTTCAGCTTCTGCATGGTCACATCCTTCTCCACCGTCTGAATATCATCCAGGTCCCGAGAGCTCAAATCCAAATATATGGCCACCTGTTTCCACTCCTTCCCCAGCTGTTTGGCCACCTGCAGCAGCTGCCTCTCTGACATATCTTGGGCCTGAGTCTTGGTAGGTTTACATCCATCTGTAGTGGGACACACATGTACAGTGAGGGACAGTGTGGGAGAAAAATGTTTGAGAAATGAAGCGCTTACCTGGCTCATCCTCCCATCGTGACTTTTTACCATTAGTTTCTTCTTCAGATGGACTGCTGCTTCTCCGTTGGCCTGAGCAAACATGAATGTTTGTTGAACCCATTAAAGTGAACCAAGATTATGAATGAAAACACAATCTTACTGAATATTCTCTTTCGAGGCTTCTTTTCTGTATCCACACAGTCACCTAAAGAATATATTGTTTAGCACAGGTAAGTTTTGGAGCATATTTTCAATTGTTAAAATAATTATAGAAGTGACATAGTGTTAATGTATGCCGTGCAAATACCTTCTCTGATGGTAGCAGACCAGACTGTTGCATCAGTAGACGTCTCTATAAGAGACATTTTAAACGGAGGAGGCTGCTCAAAAAAAGCCTCAAAATAACCCTTCATTTTTGTCACTGCAAGAGTGAATTTCAGCTCCTGTTTGAACATGAATCAGGTAAAGATTATTTGAAATCAATGCGATTTTATTATTATGATCAAATGAAACCTATGAATTGACCTGAGGTTTGACCTCTCCCTCTGGCTCACACAGAAGACGGTAAGTGCCTTCATCCAGTTTACAAGTGGGAGGTTTCTCAATGCTGATGTAACGGTTCTTGTAACCACGTACCTGATTGCGAATGTCCTAGCAAAATAAACACAACATGTAGTTGAGCAAAATAGCTCCCTGCCTAATGATCATGTACATTTTTACTTTTACTCACATTAGCTCATATTCTCAATCAAATAAAAATGATTATTTGTAAGAAATGTTTGAGCATTCCAGGACAAAATTATACTTAATGTCTGCAAAAATGCAAATGAATATCTAGAGGATTAATGTAATAATGTAAAAACACAAATCCATTTAGAAAAGCAAAAAAGCCCTGGCTTTTTCACAAAATACATGTTACACAAGATGAAAAAATGAATGGGGATCTGCAACTACAACAAAATAACTAGACTGACAATTACTAGAGTGAAACACAAAGTTGAGTAATGCCCTACAAGTCCAACCTATGTTTGAGGTACAAGAACACTCAATGTGACTGTTGACAAACTGTTCATGAAAATTCTGGAAAGTCAATTTGAACACTGCAAGACTGAAACCATTGAAACCACAATTTCTCTTCCTACCTTAATGTCAGAGGGACTGTTGGTGGCCAGATAGATGTGGAAACTGTGGCAGTTGTCACTGATGGCAACCTGTTTGTAAATGAGCACAACCCCGTGGTGCTCCACCGGCTGGCTGGTCTGGATGATGGGACCCACGGGGGACAGTGAGGTCACATGCCACTTTACATGACTGCCTGAGTGGTCCACTGTGGGCTCAATGAAGGGACGCTGATTCTTTATGTGCAGAACACTGAATGTCCGGTCACTGTCTGGATCTAACAAAAAAAAGTTTTGTAAAATAATAATATTAATTTGCACAATTAAAAATGATTTGTATAAACATACTAAAATTATGCAGTTTCCATTTATTCAAAAGGAGTATTCACTTTTCTGTGTCAGTTTGAATAAATACTTGACCATTAGACTGTGTAGCTTTTACAAAGGTAAATTCATGACAGTAGTTTTCACTTTTTTTTTTTTTTTTTTTTTTTTTACAAATGATTTATCATCAAGATCTTACCTGCAAGACAGACAGAGTGCGGAAACTGGATAGACTTGAGCACAGATGCATCTTTATTCACCGTGTCCACATTAAAGATGGGACCAGCAAACCTCCAGGAGTTCTCCAGAAACGCCCCAAATTTGGTCCAGGACAAGACTGAGTATCGTACCACGACTGGTTCAGATGCCTCAAACACGAGTCCAGTCACATTGCATTCATATGTGCCCTCTCCATCCAGCTCGACTCTGATCATACAGTGTAAGTAAATAAAAAATGTCCAATAAGAACAAAATGAGCATACATGAGTTGTGCTACATACTGTAATCTCCCCTTTGCTATCCTTATGGGTGTCACAAGTTCTTTTCCATGGCTCTGCAGAATCAAACAATGAATAAGTATGCTGTCAAAGCATGTATACAGAATCCATTATCATATGCATGCTCGTTCACCTGTTGTATTGCCTTGCATTTTTCACAGCAAAACTTGAAAGGTCGATCTTCTGAAATAAGTAAATAAATAAATCAAAATCTGCATCTTGTCATTAGTTAGCGTATAGCATAATTTGGATTGTGTGAACTCTCTTGCCTTTGTCTCCATTTGCTTCTGAAGAAAGATCATCACCATCTGCTGAACCTGTAACAAAATGAAAAGTTACAGTTACAGTTGAACCACAAACACTGAATAAAATTTTTCAAGATGAATATAAGGGAAGCATGACTATTATGTAGAAAGACCTTGTTCATACAGTGCAATGAACTACTTTACACCATACATATTTTATTGACCAAAATATGTATTGATAAATACATGCTTGCTTATATAAAAGATATGATAACTCCACAATAGTTTACAATATCTACACACAGGTAAAGATTTTTATGCATAAATTTGAGCATAAATTTCAGCAGTTGTTTGATCAGAGCACTCTTCAGTTTCTGTGACAAGTGAGAGAACTTAATTAATGGCAGAAAGAAAGGTTTTTTTCACTTCCCCTAATTGTTTGAATTGAAATATATAACAATAACAAAATAGTATAACTGTAACACAAAATGGCAAATGCACATACGCCATGGTAACATGAATCCAAAACAATAATACTACTACATCTTTGCAGTGTATTTCTAGAAATTATGATTCCATTCATGAGCCTAACTTGACAGCTTTTGAGAACAGCTCTTGAATTCTCACCTGACACCTTTTCCTCTTCATCGTTGTCCTCGTCCTCTGAACTGTCTTCACTGGATGACTCTGTGTTATCTTCAAAGACCAACAAATTTAGTTGTTCTTATTAATTTTTCAATCAAAAGTGCAGATGTGTCTAGAACTTGGGAACAAGTATTTATAGGACTTAGTGGCTCACCTGCACTGGTGCTGTCACTGTCTGCTTGGTTATCTGAAACATAATTTCACATGATTCAAGATATATACAGATAAGTTAGATAGAGAAGTTATTTTGTGGCTGTGAAAATAAATCTTAGTCTAGACTCATAAAACATTTCAAATTTAAGCCAAGAAGTGAGATTAGCTTTCACAAAAGTACAGAAGTCTTACATAGTGCAACATTGTACCATAATATAAAGCCATAATATTTTAAGTAGTTCTTTTAATGCTTTCATTCTGAGCGGCAATAAAGTGTGGACCACAGCATCTAACAGAGAGCCTGTTTGTCTAATGGACAGAGCCCATCTCCACAGGCTAAAGTAAAAGCAAATGCAGCAAAGGCTTGGCTCCTACCCACAGCCTCACCAGTTTGTACCCTCCCTTATTCTGCTCTCTCCATTAAGTTTTGTGCACCCATAAGCCAGAATCTTCTGGCACAGAGAGCCAAGACAGTTCAAACAGATTCATTCAAACACTACTACAGTATAACACTGTATGGAGGGTGCAGACTGCCATCTTCTGGCACTCCATGGCACAGGCAGTAACAATCAGAGATTTCCTATTTTTCATTTTCCTATCTCAATATTTTAACTTGTTTAAAGAAAAGAAAAGAAAAAAAATAATATATATATATATATATATATATATATATATATATATATATATATATATATATATATATATATATTATATATTTTTTTTTTTTTTTTTTTTTTTTTTTTTTTCAAAATAACCATTAATCACTACAATACATACTACACTTACACATTAACTTTGCACTTTTCAGTACATTTGTTGGCAGTTCAACAAATATTTTTAAAATATGGGTTTGGCAAGGTTGTAATTTAAAAAAAAATCTCAAATTACTTTTTACAGGAAGATAGCAGAAGCAATAGTACTGCCACAATATTCAAAATAGGGAAATTCATTCTAGCAACACACGCACATGGAATGAAAACTAAAGACCTAGAGTTAGAGGCCTATGAAATATGAGCAGAAAACGGTGAGGTGTTTACCTTGGTCCTGAGGGGCAGGGATATCACCATCGCTGTGGGAGATAAGCTAACAGTTATTTATGGAGTAAGGATACATACATTAAAGTGACTGATAAAATGTGGAAACACCTTTCATGAAATATAAAGCAGCTGGCTACATATTGGCTTACTATGAGATTTGTTGTTACATTTGTTTATAAAAAAAAGTCTTTATTAAGATTCTGGATACATTCATCATCTTCATGTAGGTCTAATAATATTTTGTAATTAGACTACTTCAAACTAAAAATAAATATTTGGGTGAGAGGCAATAGCTGTCAGTTGGCAGAGGACTGGGGAGACCTGTTGATGCAGGCTGAACAGGATGCAGCACGTTTTATTGTCAAGTCCAGAGAGGACTTAAAAGTAGGTCACATGCAAACCTTTCCTGCTTTTCCTTCATGAGTTACAAATGAGCAGGCTGTTGATAGAAGTGTGTGTGCCGATAATCATTAAAACTTCATTGCAGACTTGTAGATAAGGGTTATTGAGGAGTCATTTTATATTGTCTGTGAGTTATGATAACGACAGTGGTTTCTCTTTGTGAACATTTGGCGGTTTGTTTTCACTCCTCCATTTGAGTCTCTGCAGCTCTGTGTCTGCAACAGGAAGTCACACATGACTACAATTACTGTCTCCACAATATTGTTTACATTAAAGCAAGATGCGTATACGCTACATATACCTGAACAGAAAGAAAGGCTGCACCTGATGAGCTGTTTGCCCTTTGTGCCTGACTTTTGTAAATGCGTGTGGGACTTTTCCTGGCGTGTGTACTGACACCAGGCAACCTGACTTTGTATTCACTAGAGTTATGAGTCACCACTGGTATCAGGTCACTTGTCTGTGGCTTACAATGTAAATAATGCTGCATGCAACAATAGTGGCTTTTCCTCTATTAAAAATGTTTTAACTGCCTATAAAAAGTGTGTTAGCTGTGATATTTATAATTCTGTTACAGTAGAATACATTTGAATTAAAGGGCACATATTAGGCCATTGTCTGGTTTATGTTATAATGTTTTCTCATCACAAATATGTCTGGACTGGTGTTTTGTTTCATTCAGACATGTTTTACACACAAACCCTGGAAATGTAGACAGACTAATAATAAAGGATTACACAAACGTGTGAATGAAACAACTCAAGTCAAGTTCATTATGATATGAGCACTGTGATCATAATTATTTGGATCGAAGGTTTTGTTGTGTTGTCATAGTGGAAGTGACACACACAACTGTAGCGTGTATGTAACAGCCCTACTAAGACAGCTTAACTCCACTTTCTCTTCCAGTATCTAGTCTAGTATAAGAAGAATATCTATTCGTTTAAAATAATGCTCACTAATATTACACAGTTAAAGCCTCAGTGGCGCGGGAAGGTGCTGGTGCTTCGTTTTGGCACCACGCGCGCATCCACCAAGCGTAAAAACCTAACCTATTATGACCACTGTTATTATTGTATTTTTAGGATTTATGGTTGATGGTTAGGTAAGTCAAAAAAGAGGAACTCATACCAGTCTTCATTTGAAGTAGCAGCGCCGCAGCTCGCCATCTCTGCCACCATCCTGACTGTAACCAAATCGCGTTGCTCTCTTTATCCAGTGGCGGGTGCGCGTAAAATCCTCGAATGATATTCGATCCCAGTATGGAGATACCGTTGTGTTGTTGTTGCTATAAATTTGATAATCATTCACCTAGTGGCCAAGCAATATCGAACCTATTTCATGTAGGCTGGTGCAGAGCATGCATGCCTTTTTCACATAAAGGCTTTGAGAAGAAGACAAGCTGGTAACCTATGATCTTCACACCTTTGAAAAGCATTCATAATCCATCTGATTTTCAGAAATGCTGCTAGAAAGGAAGTCTAACTAATGACCTTTTTTTGCACGAGCCAAATTCCATCTGTTTTTCTACAACTGCGCATGCGTAGAATAAAAGCGGGACCAGGCAGTCGAGGGCATTGCATCTGGGAATCACCGTGAGTGCGTCTCACTTCTCTTTCCTCGCTCCTCTCTATGTTTCTTCTGTCAATGAGACGTCCTCACCCATTTCCTGCGGAATCGAGGAGAGGAATCAAGGAGAAAGAGGCGAGGAAAGAGAAATGAGATGCGGCCGGTATGCTCGTCGCGCATGTGCGTGGGAGGATCGGGTCTGCGCAACATCCCGCCCATCTCTCCGCTGTGCAATTTAAAAAGAAACTAAAACTTTAAATAGTGAACAGTGAGCACGAGGAAAACAAAAAGCTGAAGTGTTTGTGACACAGTTAGGTTTGTTACAAATGTTACATTGATAATTTCGTCCATTGAAGCTAGCCTAATTAATGTCTAAAGCAAACATGCTTTTGAGTCGAACTGGGCGGGAAACGAAAGGCTATCCTTCCAAAGTTTGGAGGTTGCAATGCTCGGAAAGAACCACCAGAGGTCTCTACAGACAAAAAAAAACACAAAAAAAACAGGTCAAGTCAGTCACAGTCAATGCAGACTGCTACAGTGATGGGAAGAATACTTTGAAAATGTATATTTAAAAAAATTATATGTATTTTGTAAGTAAGTCTTTATATATATAGCGCTTTTCACAGACATTTCTGTCCCCAAAGATGCTTTACAGAGCATTATTCAGCATTATTCATTCACTCTATACCTGGTGATGGTAAGCTACTATTGTAGCCACAGCTGCCCTGGGGCACACTGACAGAAGCAGGGCTGCCATGCCATTCGGCGCCATCAGTCCCTCCGACCACCACCATCACTCATACCAGGCAATGTGGGTGAAGTGTCTTGCCTAAGGACAGACAATGATTGAATTGATTGTATTTTAATTGACCTTGACTATCAACTGTTCTTGGAGACCTATGTTTTTTTTGGTTGATGGGGGAAACCAGAGTGCCCAGAGGAAACCCATCCAGACATGGAGAGAAACATGCAAACTCCACACAGAAAGGCCCAGGCAACCCAGGGATTGAACCCAGAACCTTCTTGCTGTGAGGCATGAGTGCTAGCCACTCAGCCACCGTGTGGCAACATTGTAACTTATTCTGTCACATGGTTCAGTCAGAGTATTCTGAATATTATATTTGAATACTTTCACACAGTTACATTTTAGTATAGGCTAGTGTAAAACACATGACATGTAATCACAGCCATCTTGATTTTATTTGTTTGTTATATTTGTTATGCATTTATTTCTAACTAAAGACGAAAATATCGCAATCATGCATTTCAAGAGCAGCGCTATCATTTTGTTTTCTCAATTATAAGGCGCCTGTTAAAAGCCAAAATGAAGTGATTAAATACCTCCAGGTATTCCACTAATTAAAAAAAAATAATAAAAAGTAAGTTACTGTATTCTGAATACTACCAAATGAAAGATTAGTATTCAGAATACGTATTTTTGGTACTTGTATTTAGTTACTTCCCAACACTGGATATACTATTATTAAAGTGAATGCTGAACCAGACCAGTACCATTTAGTTTACTTGAATACACTCTGCACACATCTAACAATAATCTACCCATTTACCATCTACCTTGTCTACCTCATTTAGAACAATATAATAATCCTTTTTTTTTTTTGTTATAAATGTGAAAAAAAATCTTCATCCAGCTCAAGTCCTCTACCAGAGGCTTGGGAGCTTGAGGGTTTTGTGCAGTATCTTTTCTGTTCTTAGTACTGCACTTTTCTGGACTGAGATATCTGTTGTTTTTCCTGGGATCTGCTGTAGCCACTTCTCCATTTCGGGGGTTAAAGCCCCGAGTGCTCCTATGACCACAGGTACCACTGGCACCTCTGTATTCCAGCTCTTCTCCAGCTATTCTTTGAGCCTCTGGTGTTTCTCTAGTTTCTCGTGTTCCTGTTTCCTGACATTCCCATCACTTGGTATTGCAATGTCCACTACCATTGCTTTGTTTTATTGCTTATCCAACACCACTATGTGCGGTTGGTTCACCATCACCATTCTATACCTCGAAGTACCAGAGGATCTTGGCACGGTCATTCTCCACAACCTATGGAGATGTTTCCCACCTTGATCTTGGGGTCTTCAGCCAGTACTCTGCACAGATGTTTCTGTACACTATGCCCACCACTTGTTTATGTCGCTCCATGTATGCTTTCCCTGCCAGCATCTTACACCCTGCAGTTATGTGCTGGATGGTCTCAGGAGCCTCTTTGCACAGCCTACACTGTGGATCTTGTCTAATGTGGTATCTGGGCCTCTATTGCCTGGGTGATCAAGGCCTGCTACTGTGCAGCCAGAATGAGTGCCTCTGTGCTGTCCTTCAGACCAGCCCTCTCAAGCCATTGGTAGGATTTCTTGATATCAGCCACTTCAGTTATGTTTCAGTGGTACGCCCCATGTAGGGACTTGTCCTGCCATGACTTCACTCACTCATTGTAGGTATTTGGTCGTAGCCACTCTCCTTGTTGTTTGTGGCGATTCCGAAGAAGTCAGCTCAATGGCAAAAACAAGTTCTGGGCAATAAACCCTACCAATAATCAGATACCCAGCAGGAATCATAAGATGGAGACAGACCACAGATGTTAAGACACGAAAGCTCCTGACCACACATGGAGGGTTCCATCCCAAATCCAGCACTCTGAGACTGTATGCGAGCAGAAGACTAGTGAGTGTAGGAACCACTGTCCAGGATGAAACATCCAAGATCCATAAGTACATTAATGAGACGGCCCCCGTGTGTGTGTGTGTATGTGTGCATGCATACACAATCAGACTAAGACTAATATTATTCTGGGCTAAACTAATGGCTATATTCGTCATGCAGCAGAGAGGAGACAGAGTGGAGAAAGGGCCACAGCCCGAAGGGAGAGATTGTCATCATTTTGAGTGGCTAAACGATACCCCCAAATCCCAGGAAATGGGCAAGAATACATGGAGGACAGTAAAGGTCAAATAGACACAATTTAGACAATTTAATTCAAGCTTTGCAAAAGCCTACTTACTCTATTAAACATGATGTCTAATTCACTTTCTGTATTAACAATATTAAATTATTGGATGCATACATAATTATGGGCTGTCCCTGTCTTTTCATTTAAAATCAAACGTATTCAAACATTTGGCAGCAAATACTGCTGTCTTTTTATAGCCAACCAAGCAACTGTTTTGGAAAGGATGATGTCATAGACCCCAGAGAGTTTAACATGAGCTCTCATTATCTTTCACAGACTCTATTAAGTCAATGAAGCATGATATGAACCATCGCCTAGCACTATGCATGATGTGCATTCACTAGTATCAAATGTATCCTTATCATTCAAATATATAAATATCTAAACATTAAGCATCATAATTTCCTGACATTATCTTTGGTTAATGCTCTGAGCACAAAAGCAATGTTCTCACATTTAGCCTATACTGGCAGGGCCCCTAAAACTGAAAGGAATACAGGATCACCCTGGATATGAAAATGTTGCTTCCTTTAGCCCTTGTTTTTTAACATTCCAAGACGACTAGTAGCTCATCTTAACATGCATGAGCTTCACAGGACATGACAAGTTACAAGTTTTGTGTAAACCTGGCATTCCAGTGCACTAGATTTACTATAGCTTATTAGATCAGAAGTGCATTGTTTGGGGGAGTCTGTGACAGATTGGTTGTAGCTTTGATTCAAAGTTTTATATTCATTTGGTGAATATATTAGGCTAAAATGGCTATTGTGCATATCCTCTGACAGGAACCCTCCAACCAAGATAGGCTGGCTTTTCCAGTGGTCATAATTTTTAATTTCTTATTCTTTCTTTTTTAAAGTTATCCACCTAATATCTTAAAAAACCATAATACCAACACATAATGTATTTTTATTTAATCTTACCCATAATTTGTACAGTAGTGAATTGTGCTAGGACATATTAAAGAGTACAACAATAGGCTTAAGGATATAAATAATTCAGAATCTGAAAGAGTAACATTAGGTATATTTTGTGTCTTAGTCTGAACACATCAGTGTGGCTAACAAGGGATGGTGCATATATTATTTGCATTAATCCCTGGGTGTTCCCATTTCAATAGAAAGCCTGCCTGCTGAGTCAAATCACTTAGTGCTCTTTCCAACCTGTCTCTGTGATAGCACTGCATAAGACTGTCAAAAGGCTAACTTATACTGTCCACCCATACTGTAAGAATGCAGAGATCAGCTAAATTTTTCCTACTCAACAAAATTATTAAAAGCTTTGCCAGACTCCCATGAGATGTATTTTTTTTTTCTAAAAGATGCATTTTTTTCAGTGTTGGTTTTGAATGCAGCCAAGTATGCAGATTTATTTGTTTGAAAGATACAACAAAGGAGAAATTGGTGGCATCAGGTCAAAATAAGCCATTTAGTACAGTAAAAAAAAAAAAAAATTACAGATTTGCTATGTGTAAATTGCCATATAAAATAGTATGGATTTTTTTTTTTTTGCACCAAGCCATAAACATGCTTTGTTTAAGATGAGACAAGGATGCGAGTGGATGTGCTTTAGCTGTAGTGTGGCACTTCTTCAGACTGTGGACACTGATTTTTATTGAGTCCAAGATAATAAGAATACACATAGGCTTAAACAGGTTCACATCTGCCAGTGCCAGTACTTGCTGACTTGCAGCTATAGATTACAGTTTTGATACAGTAGTACATTACAGCATTTAGAACTAACTCAATAGGGAAATTGTTAATGCGAGGAATAAAAATTAAAACAGAATGAAATTATGTTTCCTGTAATTACTGTTTCACAAAACAATGGAAAATTTAGCATCTATATTTTGTATGAGAAAAGGCCTGTATAAATTCCATTATGCAGCCTAATGGACCCAAGAGCGCCATGAAACATCTGAAAACACATTTGAGCCAAATTAACAAACCTCAGTAAATGATTAGATGAATGAAGGCCTGTAAACATTCATACTCATATTCATTTATATCAGACTTATCTTCATTCGTTCATAAAGACGCTGCTAGAGCTGAGTGTTATTTAATAATTCTACTGACATCAGAGGAGCTCTGTGTGGTGGGTTTCAAGGAATGAGGCAGACAGGATGTGGTGGCGCAGCACAGACAAAACCATATTGATATTTGGACAAATTTATGATGATTCTATAGGATCATTTTGGATATCATACATTATGAGTTACACGGCTTCTCACAGTTTAGTGTAAATGCGTTAATGACAATGCAACCTTTACTGTTTGAGTGATTGCAAAGCTGTGATCAAAAATAGCTATTATTTCCACGGTAAATGTCAATAAGCGGCAGAATAGCCACTCTGCTGGGAAAGCCCATAGCCCCATGAGGGCACTGAAAAAACTGTGAGCTCTATCTGCAGGCCACAAGGCAATTTAATGAGAGCGACTGCTCTAAAAGTTTCAAATAAATGGACTATAATGAAACGAAAGGTAAAAAAAACAGGCCTATAAATGATCAGGAGAGGCGGGGTCTATTTAGGTGCAAACACAAATGTAGGCTATATGCGATCCCCATGGGGTAGGATGCTTAAGAGTAAGATTACCTCAATAAACAACATCATTCTAACTAGAAAATTATCATTTTTGTGTTGGCCCAATTTATGGGTTTCAGCATTCTGTTATAGGCAACATTTTGAGGAGAATTTCGAAATGTTAATGAATAATGATGGGGTAAAAGCTCTTGTTTACTTTTTACAAGTCGACACATTGCTACTGGAAATTCCTCAAGACTCAAGACTTCACGTAATAGTGATGCAGATGAAGAGTGCGCTCGGCTCAGTGCCCTGGCGTTCAGGTCCTTGCCGGGTGGGGGGGCACCTGCTGTCCCGCTGGTGCGCTGCAGCGTCTCTTCAGTGAGCGGTTGGACGCCCAAGCAGACCTGTAATACCTGAGCAGACATCCTGTTGACCTCCCGGAGAATCAGACGCTGAGCTCCAGGTCGCTAGACATTTCCTGACCATGCCCCGCTTGCCTGGCGGCGGGACAGTCGGTACCGTGGTGTATGTGTGTCTGGTATCCGCGTGTGAAGCGTTGCGGACGTGCGGTGACGTCCAGTGTGGCGCTGGACAGCAGTGTTGTTCCCCTACAGGCGCCGGGAACGCCACCGCCGGCACCACCGTGCGCTGCTGCAAACTGCCTATCCATGTCTTCTTCGACAACGTGGGCTGGTTCACGCGCAAACTCTCCGGGATTCTCATCCTGCTGCTACTCTTTGCCATGGGCTACTTCATCCAGCGCATCATTTGCCCGCGGCCACGCAGACAGCCAACCCCACAGGACCGCAGCGAGGAGCCCTCCCTGTTCTACGGCCACGCTTCTGCATCTCAAGACTCTCTTTTGGAACGATACCCGGAATCCTACAGCCTGGGGGACATCGCCTCTCCGAATCTACCTGCGTACGAGGAGGTTAAATACCTGCCCACCTACGAGGAGAGCATGCAGGAGATGCACAGGGACAACTCTGATGAGCATCTACTTTGTGAGAGCGATGCGGGCAGCCGGGACAGAGACGGAGCCGGGGACGGCATGGAGCGCAGACGGGATGTCCTGTATGAGGTGGGACAGCAGCATAGCCCACGGACATCTCGAAACTCAGTTTGAGCCGAACGTTTTGAACACACGCAGTGGCCATGAAGAGTTTTTGAAGACTTAACTCTTCTCAGGGCATTACTAGCTTCAAATGGTTAATATCCAAATGGAGATGTTGTACATATTGTTTCGCTCTTGAACTTGAAGAAAATAAGACGAACAAGGATTTGATGCATTTTGCCAAGAGAGTAGATTAGGAATAGATGCCACATGGGGTCAAATGTAAAGCAGTCTACCTGATGGAAACCAGTCGTCATGCTCAAATGCCACTGGCTCTGACTCCGATTGTGGTGGCTTTGCAACCCAATACTCCATGATGGCTAGGCCAGTATTGAACACTGATTGCTCTATCCCCACAGGAGTGGAGGGAGTGTGCACTTAAAAGCATTTAAATCCATGTTTCAAACCCATTGATGGAGAGGTGAGACAAGACGAGTGACCCCAAGACTGTGTACATGCCCTGACAAAAGAACAACAAAGGATGATTTCTTTTGGCAAGAGCAGTAACATTAGTCGCAAGCATAAATCAGTCAACATCAATATAATAATGTGCTCATAAGTACAGAGGATAAGATATAGGCCTTACACAAACGCATAATAGCTTAACTTTGCACACTTAACTTTAATGAATGTTATGTAAGCAATGGCTGAAGCAACAATCAATTAATTCATAAGTACCAATAAAAGTGTAAAAATAAAAATGATAAGCAAGAGTCAGGACATTTTACAATGAATATTAACAACACACATTTTAAATGTATTTATTTATTTATATGGTTTAATTTTGGTAAGATTCCCTAGAATGCTCACATAATAGAAGAGTTAGCAGCAGCCACAAAGGTAAATTATGAATATTGTAGTTAGTGTAGCCACTAATTGTGAAACCTGAGCCCACATGTCCTGAGAGTGCTCATAAATTAACAGTGAGCAATCAGGAGGCCTTTCTAAAAGTGACTGAGGCATTGCTGTTGTTTTATACCACCCACAAAATCCTCAGAAAAAGAAACACTTGGTCCACCTTCACCTCACCTCAGGTGAAGTGAAGTAAAACCTATAAGGTTTTGCTTCTGTGTGGATAACTGCAAATCTTTTGAGCGCTTTCTTTGGTCACATGATTTAGAGAAGTGCCACATTGGTCTTACATGCGCTGGCCTATAGCCAACCATGGGGTGGAGCTGTGGGTTAAGGGACAGCTTGAAATAAGAACTGAGCATGAAATCATTATATTCACACACTGTATAAAAAAAATATATTTTGTTGTTGTGTTGTTTAGAATCTATCAGTTAGTATTTTTATGTACACGCAGGGTGCAAAAATATGTGGAAAAAAAAAAAAGATTTTTACATAACACTTTCAGAAAATCAAAAACAAACAATCAACACAACTAATAAAAATAAAAAAGGACATGTTTACATACACATTCTGACTTGTGACAAAAGGCCTTAAAGTGCATATGACAGGTTAGACTACTAATTTCACTAAAACGTAGTTAACATTATTATAATCAAGATTTAGCAAAAGTAACATAACAGTTTTTTCTGCACGTATATTTTACCTAACTTGGCTCATTTTCCGACCCCGGATAAGCGGAAGAAAATGGAATGGATCATTTTGTTATTTACTGATCAGCATTTTAGAACTCAGCTGTACTTGCTGAATAATTCAGCTGTTCTTCACAAACTACCACTTGCCTGGTTTACAATTATGTTAACATTTTTCCCCATGTATTATACCACCAAACAGTTGCAATTTGAAAATCTGAAACCATGTCATATGCCCTTTGAGGATGCAGAAATGGTACTTTTCCTTTTCAATGACATTCAGGGTTAGAACTCATTACATTACATTACTCATTATACAGTATTCTCTGAGAAGCTTGGTTACCCTTACTGCTCTGTTCATCAGCTGCTTCTAAGTGGCTAAATCTCTCACCAGTCTATATATGACCCAGTGCCAAACTTGAATATCAACAAACCTTCAGAGACACACAGCTTTACACAGTTTATGCTGAGGTCCCACAAACATTATCGACGTGAGGCCATGCTGCCTCTGACAGATGCATTAGCTGCCCTCTCACGCTCTTTGGATAACTCCATCTCAATCTTCACTTGGATTTTCTCCCAGTCCACTTCAACCTGCAAGGCACAAATAATGCTTATTATAAGTATTTAGTCAAAATACGCAATTTTCATTATAGCAACATTATTTTCATTTATTTCTCTTGAGCTTCTCATTTCTTTGTTATCTGCACAACTACTGTATTTAATACATTTAGACTTAGACTCCATTGATCCACAAGAGAAATTTACGGAGTAATAACAATGCCCTTCTTGTACAGTTGTATGAAGTCAGGGAAATGCGGTCCTGTATCTTTCTGGGAGTGGAGTAGTACTAGCTTGTTGGAGAATAAGCTCCTCAGCGCCCTAGAGTTTGGAGTGGGTTATCAGGAGTATCCATAATGAAGAGCAGCTTGTCCTTCTTTGCTTCACTGTAACAAATGTCTACAGCTCACAGTCAATCCCATGATCAGCTTTACAGATCAGATTGTTGATACATATAGCCCTTTAGCTGGTGCTGCTCCTCAGCAGACCACATCAACGTACAAGGCAGTAGGCACCACAGATTGGTGACATTGAAAGCGCTTTCTCAGTAAGTAGAGTTTATTCATGCTCTTCTTCTACACAGCATTGCTATTGTCCTTCAGTCCAGCTTGTTGTTCACATGTTCACATTTGCTTTCAGTGTCACTGCACTGGACTCCAGCTCCTGTTCATATCTACATCTTACCAGCGCAGTTATCAGAGTTGGACCTGGAGCTGTACTGGAAGTAAGCGCTTTAAAGATTAAAACAACAAAAAAGACAGAACCCTGAGGAGAGTGCAAGTAGTCAGTAATCCCCGAGCCAGTATATGGACAGATGCCCATTCTGAGCAGCTTCTCTCTCATCAGGAGGGGCTGAATCGTGTTAAACGCACTGGAGAAATTAAAGTATAATTTTCTCACGCAGCACTATTCAAGTGAGAATGGCACTGCAGAAGATAAATTACATTTACTTTCCAGAATACTTTTCTAGCAGCTTACGTTTGGTTACTCTTCCCACTGTGAGCAAGTGACAAAAGCTTTATGCTGACAATATAAATAATTTGAACAGTTGTATTTCTTGAACTGCTCCTTCAGATATAATTTACTTTTTCAGATTTTTTTGTCTATGCTTTGAAAACACCAGATTTTGTTCATTATTTAATGTTGTGTCCTTCAAAGTACATACATTTTTGTATAGATTGTACAGATGGCACTTCCCGACAGTTAACTTTAACTTGCTCTACCTGAGTAGTAGTTTTCCCAATTACTTTTACTCTTGGACCACTATTTTTTACTTAAATTTGCATAAAATTATTTTGAAGTAACATTAGTCTTACTTTATTACAATTTCGGCTACTCTGTCCACATCTGGTAATTTGAGGCCGATATATTCAATTTGTGGAGGGTCCAGGGCAGTGGGCAACCAGGGGTCGAGCTGAGCCAGGATGAGTCTCTCCAGCACCTTCATTGTAATTTGAATGTAATAAGAGTGCCTTTGTGTGCATAAATACCAGAGAACAAATGGCTGCAATCTGGTGTGTATACATGTATGACACATGTATGCTTATTAAAATGCACAGTCCTGACCAAATAAAAACATTATCTTACCCCTTCTGCGTACTGAAGAAATCTCTTGTTAGATTCTTTTCTGCCAAACTTCTGGAGAAACTTCTCTCTGAATGCCAGCACAGTGTCCACATGGGTCTTGTGTTTGACTGCTAGTTCCAGTGCCCTTAAAAATGCCAACAGACAGTATAATAATGCACAGACTAAAACCTTTCCCAAAACCCTCTCCACCATCCCATTCCCCAAATCAAGGTTCTGTACCTTTCCCAGTTGAACAGGTCAATGTTGATCTGTATAGCCTGATAAATAAGCCCGGCTTGTAACAGAACTGCTTCAGCCTCCTGGACCTGACCACTGAACAGCAGCATATGGGCAAGAGAGGACTCTTTAGATGCCTGCTCCTTTATGAAGTGAATGTACTGCACACGAGGTAACTGAATGGAAACAGAAAATAAAATACATGAAATACAACACATCACACTACTGGTACTTTAGCCAGTTAAAGTGTGGTTTTAAAAAGATTCATGCCCATACCTCTCCAATAGCAGCATAGGCCATCTCCGCCGTTGTTAACTCTTTACTAGCCATAGTCATTCCAGCAAGACATGCCCACAAAGACTGGTCCTACACAATGGAGAAAACAGGAAAAAACAGGCCAAGATGGATGTTTCATGATTATATAAAGAACTAGCCATTTACTGGCCGTTTAGTGTTTCAACGAAGGAAGAAATGCAATATAAATATGGAGATAATGGTAGATTATATAAAAGTGTTATGATACTAAATGAATCACAGTTTTTTCCCCACATATTGATCTATCACAACTCATGATCATAGTCACGGTTCTTTAACAACCATAAAATACATTTATTCCCCTAAAATCTGAAATCCTTAGTCCCAAGCTCATCATTACTCATCACTGCTACTTACCGTTCATATTTTACAGAGAGTGTATCTGGGCTCTTGTTGAACTGGTCTCATAAACTCTGACAATATGAGATGAATTGTCAAGAGTGTTTTAATCTTTGCTATTGTTTTTTTCTGGTAACTAAAAGCTGATAACACTTTCATTCATCTTGATCAACTTTTTTTGTTTATGTTTGAAACATCACAACAGAACAAGACTCTGCTGTCCTCTGCTGGCCATTTAATTTCTTTTCTAAAAAGTAAATCAGTGGAGGAGTGCCAACAAAGTTTTAATGTGTTAAATACGCTGTTTTTAGTAAAAGTTTAGGTTTGGTTCAGAAAGATAAAGTAAAGACTCGTTTTAAGGATAAGATAATGAACATAGAAAATTATCAAATCTTACTTTGGCGAAGCGACACAAGTGCAGTGCATCCTCCCAGCGAGAAGAGGAGCTGTAGTCATGGAGAATGGCTGGATAAGGTGTAACAGTGCTGTACACCAAAGAACCATCCCCTTGGCGCAATGTCACCTTGGTGCCCACATAGCTCAAAATATGTGGTGTCCGGGCAAACTCACTAACAAAAACAGAAAACATGTGACATTTTGCTATTAACTTATCATAAATCTATAAAACCAATGGCATTCTTTGCTATGCTTAAAAAATGTGTTCAAACTTGCAATATTAATTTATAGAGTGAGAAGTTTACATTTACAGTTTGTTTAAAAGGCCAGGATAAATGCTGCTTTTATTTGTTACTTATGATCATAAATCATTCTATGTCCAATTTTTCTGGCATTAAAAGATACCTGTAACAATAAACTGGATTTATTGCCCTTACCCTTGTCATTCATTCCTCACCTTCCATCTTTAACATAAAGTGTGTGCGGTAAAAGGTCCTTATCAACAAACACCACACTTGGGTAGTACCACACCGTAAACTGATTGTCTTGAATACCGCACAAGATGTTAGAAGAATCATTCCATTGCATACAGTGAACCATGCTACCTGGAAGACCATAAAACACTGTCAGACATCTTCATAGATTTTTATAGAGTCAGAAAAAGTCACAGACTGGCAAAAAGTATTTACCGATTTTGCAAATTTTGGGTTGTCGTCCATGATGTACAGAGGTCAGGTAAAGGTCACGGTTCTTGTCTATGAAAGCGATTTTGCGCTCCTTCAAGGGGCCGCACTGGTCCAGGGCAACATCCACCACCTCCATCTTGACAGAAAAACAGACAAACAGCCTTCATTTAAAAATAATATTGGAAGGCCAAAATGAAACTCTGTGTAAAAAAATTTAACAAATTTTAAGAAAGAAAATCTGAGCAAATGAGTAAAACACTGACACTCATCATGACAATTAAGGTGATTTAACCGTTTCAAAACTGAACTTGAATATTAGAAGTACAAAAGGTGGAAGATAAGCTAATTATGCATGTTTTACATGAGGCTGCAAGGGTAACACCAGAGCACCATTAGAAAGCCCACCCAGATATGAGCCATTTTTATACTGTAAAAACAGCTTGTAGAACATTTTGAGCACATACCTTATGAGTCAATGGTTTACCATCACCAAAGGCTTTCCCCGTCAGGGCATCAAAGAGATATATGACTAACAGAAAAACAGAAGACAGAGTCAGGCTATAGGAACTTAGACTAATGATAAGTTTGGCTTCCTCTAACCTTTCTCATCACTTTTATCTCGAAGAGCAATTGTGTCGTTGCTAAGAGAGATGCCTTGAGCATTGAGAATATCAGCCCTCATCCCAGGAAATTTTGGAGAACATATAAGTCGACCCTCATATGAGAATATATACAAGCCCGCTCCATCCACAAGCAGAAAATGTCTGGGTTTATGAAACAAGAAGAAATTACTTAATTTGCAAATTTATCTTCAGCTTAATCCTTTCAGGGTTCACATAAAAATAAGATTTAAAGAAATTTAAAAAATAAACTAAAGTTGCATTTTAGTAGCATTCTCTACTGTTCCTTGTCCCCAGATCCAATTTCATTTTTATCATTCTGTTACAATCTAGATAATTGTCAGAATTCTAATGGTTAAACACTGCCATAAAATGAAATGTTATAAGACTGCAAATCAGAGAATCAATCCAAATAAGCAAAGCAATGAGATCAACTCACTTCTCTGTTTGAACAATAAGGCTGACATTTCCCTCTTTCAGGTCAAAGATGAGAGGAGTATTCCAGTTTTTTGAACTGATAGAGAAAACGCACATAAAAACACGTCAAACTAATCTTATAAGAGATGGGCAGTAAAGGTGAAAAGTAGACGTATTACCTGTAAACATAGCACTGGAGTGAGGTGGCAACGACAAGATGCCCAAATGCCAGTGAGGCTTTTATGACCCGATCCCTGAACTCTAACACATCCACTGCCTCATCGATCACATTTAGCACCTACAATAACACAATGGAGAATGTTAATTTTTAAAATATAATGATGTATGACGTAGCCAACTGCCCCTCTTTGAATACCCAGGGGTTGGAGCCAGTCTGTCAACCCCAGGAGTGGTGTGGGATCTGCCAGAGCAGCTGTAAGTGGCCAGTCCAGAGAGATCCAGGTGCCATTCAGGGACATTCACAGTCCAATCTGAGGTCATGTGGAAGGCTAGAGCAAGTTGAACTCTTCTCCACACAGAACCTGGCTCTACCAGACTTTAAGAGATTGTCTGGACTCTCCACATTTAGGAATGCGGATGTGGCAACTCACTACTCCTTTAAGTCAGGGACAGGTTTAGAGATAGACTGATATTGGTTGTTCGATATTTCATACAGACGTGGACAAAATTGTTGGTACCCCTCTTGTAAGGAAAGAAAAATCAACAGTGGTCACTAAAATAATTTGAAACTGAGAAAAGCAATAATAAATAAAAAATTCCTAAAAAGTAACCAATGAAAATCAGACACTTTTTATGAATTGTTGTTCAACAGAATAATAATTTTTTAAAAAAACAACAACTCATGAAACTGGCCTGGACAAAAATTATGGTACCCTAGAAAAGATTGTAAATAACTGAACAATAGGGACATGTTAAACTTTGGTGTGTCCTTTAATTTGCATTACACGTGTCTTCAAACTTGTCCTCAATCAAGCCTGCCTGTTTAAAGGAGAACATGTTGTCATTGTGCTGTTTGGAGACATGATGGGTATAACACTGAACATGGACCAGTGAAAGAGAAGAAGAGAACTGTGTCAAGAGACTAGAAAGAAAATGATAGACGAGCAGGTTAAAGATAAAGACAATAAGACCATCTCCAAATAGTTTGATGTTCCTGTGATTATAGTTGCTTCTTCAGAAGTTTAAGGTCCACAGGACTGTAGCCAACCTCCCTGGACATGGCTGTAAGAGATTTATGACAATTTGAAGAGATGGATCATACGAATGGTAACCAAAGAGCCCAGAACAACCAACAAACATCTTAAATATGAACTCGAAGGGCAAGGTACATCAGTGTCAGATCACATTATCTGTCACTGTTTGAGCTAAAGTGGACTTCATGTGAGGACACCACTGTTGAGAACAAATCATAAAAAAGTGAGACTGGAATTTCCACAGTGCATATGGACAAGCCACAAAGCTTCTGGGAGAATGTCCTTTGGACAGATGAGACAAAACTAGAGCTCTTTGGCAAGACACATCAGCTCTATGTTCAGACGCAAAAATGAAGCACACCAAGAAAAGAACACTGTCCCTACTGTGAAGCATGGAGGAGGCTTGGTTATGTTTTCGGGCGCTGTTTTGCTGCATCTGGCACAGGGTGTCTTGAATCTGTGCAAAATACAATGGAATCTCAAAACTATCAAGGTATTTTGGAACAAAATGTGTTGCCTAGTGTCAGAAAGCTTGGTCTCAGTCATAGGTCATGGGTCTTCCAACAGGATAATGACCCAAAACATACAGCTAAAAATACCCAACAATGGCTAAGAACAAAACACTGAACTGTTCTGCAGTGGTCTGTGAGCCCAGATCTCAATTCTATTGAACATCTGTGAAAGGAGCTGAAAGATGCTGTCTGGAGAAGGAACCCTTCAAACCTAAGGCAACTAGAGCGTTTTGCTCACGAGAAATGCGTCAAAATACCTGTTGACCAGTGCAGAAGTCTCATTGACAGTTACAGAAATCGTTTGCTTGCAGAGTTTGCCTCAAAAGGTTGTTAAAATATTAAGTTAAGGGTACCATAATTTTTATACAGACCAGTTTCATTATTTAGTTTTTTCTAATAATTCTGTTGAACCACAGGTAAAATTTTTGTTGGACAATTTTCAGTAATTTTTTATTTATTATCGCTTTTCTCAGTTTCAAGTTATTTCAGTGCTTATTGTTGATTTTTCTTTCATTGCCAGAGGGGTACCAACAATTTTGTCCACATCTGTATATTTGGAATTTGACCATATCGACTATTGGCCTCAAATTTCCAACACAGGCCGACATTTTATTTGGGCCAACCAGCTGCGTAAAGAATCCACATAAAGCTTTATTTACACACTTCAGTGCAAAGAGATGCAAATAACTGCACAAAAAACTTGACTACACAGGTCTCTTATACATAGGTCTGTGGTTAGAAAGAGCAGTGGGTAAGTTTTAAGTAAATTCAAATTACATAATTTCAGCAGATCAGCAGAGGTGGATTGCAGAGTGTGAGGCAGATGAAAAATAATTTGACATTTAAACCTTTTCACATCAAATACTGCAGTATGGTTTAATAGCTTTGGTAGAGCAACAAGATAATGTTGTGATACACTAATACGTATGTGAATGCTGGTCTTATGCTTTGATGAATACGTTTGTAAAGCTCTGCCTCTGAAACTCAGTACAGGTCTTTTCAAGTACCAGGTGAAAGGTGGGGGTATTTTTACAGCTTTACAAATCGGCCTCCTCTGCTCCTCCAGTAAGCTAAATTTACATGCAACACAACCAAGAATAAAACCCTTTGACCACAAGGTGGTAAATTTAGCTGGCTGATTCACAAATCACTGGCAGATGTGCGCTTTCAAAAGGACTGGAAGGAGGAGAAGGAAAACGGAGAGACATTGACATAAGTATAGATATGCAAGATGAGCATATGTTGGCACTCATACATATTTTATATAAATTTGTTAACAAGATGAAGCTGCAGATCTGAAGATAAAAGGGAAGAACAATTCATATATTACCTGGTACTTTACTAACCTAATTTGTAGACTGAATACAAAGTGTCAAATGCCTTGCACACATTTGTTAATTGACCAATCAATCTTCCTTAGTTATCGTTTACCTACCACACAGGAAAATGTTTAGTTAATCCATCTACCTGCATGGTTCTTCTCTTGGTGAGGGTGATCACAAAATTCTTCCACTCCCAGTGCTGCTCCACAATGTGAGCAAAGATGACATGTCCATTACCACAGGAACCAGCCATTTGGGTGCCATCTGCAGACCAGGCCAGGCTAAACACACTTCCAGTGTTGGGCTTCTCCAAGGCATAGGACCACTCCAGACAAAAACAAACAAAAATAACCAAATTGCAATAACCAAGGGGTTAAGTTCACCAATAAACAACATGTATTTTTACATGGAAATATTAACAAACATTTTTTGCCATATGCATCTCTGACAACTTTCTTAAGTTCTTCCACTGACTTTTTTTTTTTGCAGTGTTACACTATGGGAGAAAAGGACGCTTGGGGGAGTCAAAGACACTACATGGAGGGTCAAGCAACTGCAACCCAATATATAAACCAAGCTGTAATGAAGCAAGACATTTGATATCAGCCCAAGGAGTAAGGCTGGATCTACCCTACTCTGATGCCTTTAACACACTTGGCCTTTTGGCTACTAAAAGAACCCAACAGGAATGTCAAATCAAGAGCTTTTCTCCAATGTATTTCATGTAAATTTTATTTGAATACAGCATTTTGAATTGAACCAAAATAATAAGTACACCTGAGCCACACAGCAAGAGTACTCGCTTTGGTTAACAGGTACTGTGTACCATTTAGTTTAAATGCTGTATGCAACATGTGCTGTAGTTGTCAATGACTCTTGGATCAATGTTATGGTTTGACGTCACTGACTGAAGTTAATGAGTGAAGTCAATGAGTAAGTCTAAAACTAAGGAAGCTGTCTGGCCATTCATTAAGCTTGAGTCTACTTTCTGGTCACCAAAGCCTGCCTGTCTATAATGGGCATCTTTGTGACCAGAAGGTAGGTGACAGACATGACGTATATTTTTCAGCTGAGCTCGGAAAGGAAAGTGGGAGACCTTAAAATGTACAATGAGCGTATAGATTGTGCATATGTCGATCCAATAAATAACAACTTGTTCAGACAACACTATGACTGGCAGTATGGCACCTGACCATACTATAGTCTTGATCTTAGCTACATATTGGTAGGATTAAACTCTCGTAAAATGTGCATCTATACATTAGTGCAATTTTTGACACTGATGTGAAAGAACTTGTTTCCTTGTGAATACAAGACAATGAATAGTGAGTGTATTTGGTTAAATAATAACTCCCACTATGCACCTGAAACAGAGCTTTGGCTTTGGACCTGACTTAAGAAGTAGGCGGGGCCTTGGGGAACTGTGGGGGCAGAGTTTTAAACAGCGAAAGGGTTAATGACATATGTCTGCACTAATAGCTCCCTATGGAGCTATCTGCTGATTCAGCTGCATTACTTCACAAGTATTAAATACTAGACATCTGCCATGACTATTTTCTGCTCTTTTACTAAGATCTACTCTAAATGTGGACTTTTACGTATTCATCTTATTTATTACAACACAAACTATCAAGAGGAGGTAGTATTTAGTTTTTTAACATAAATATGGTAGGTTCAAAAGGTTGACATGGTTTTGGGCAAATCCACCTACTGTGGTCAGTATTCATCATTTATCACATCACATACCAAATATACAACTATCAACCGTTTCAGTCAAACACTAAAATATTCAACGCGATTAAAATTAGTGTCCTCACTTGAATGAGTAAAAAAGATACACTCATATCTTTTTCAAACAAGCACGTGCACAAGAGGGACAGAGAGCGCCAACCAAGTCCTGAGTTAACAGTCTTGCATAAATCAGAACAGCTGGCAGACTCTGTGCAGAGCCAGCTGGCTTCAGTTTCCCTGTGAGTGCAGGACAAGACCTGGCAGCACAGGTACAAAATGTAAATCCCTTCACACTATTAACACAATACACAAACTGGGTATATAGGTAACCATAACAACATTATATTATTCATCTCTTCAGTAGTCACATGAGAACATTCAAACAAATGAAAAAAAATCTGTTGCAGCAAATTAGATTTATCAGCTACGATGAGGTACTGGTGGAGTCTCTGCCAGTGATGAGTATGGAGTGGCACAAGTTGAATCTTTGGCAACACACAGGGAAACAAAAAAGTGAGAGCACAAGGGGTGTGAGAGGAGGGGAGAGAAAGACAAACGGGAATATAAAGTGTGTGGGGGTGTGTGCGTGCACGTGCGTGTGCGTGCATGTGTGTGTGTGAGAGAGTAATGGTCTACACATGGTTTCATGCTGGAGCCTCCTCATAGTAACCATAGACACATGCTGGGGCCTCCTGGGACTCATCAGCAGGACACAGCTGTGCGCTGGACAGCAGAATTCTATTAGCACCAACCATGTGTGCATAAACATACAGTGATTGTACACACAAACACACAGGTTATTGTGGGATTTGGGCAAGCTGCAGGGTATAAGGCACTCTGACTGTACGCAAATATGGACAAAAGAAAGCTGTGCTTTTGGCAGGTTCAGATTGTGTCCTCTGAAACTGATCTTTTTACTGCTATTGATTTCATATTTGAAGCAGAGTTACTAACCTTAAATATGCATTTGTGGCATAAGTAACGCTGAGTATTACCACTAAACCACTAAAATACACCAAAAGTGACCAGTAATTCACAATACTTCCCCAGTCACATAGTAGTATCCTAATTCCATGCAGTTCCAGTCCATTGCCTTTCTTTTCTTACTCCACCTCCTCATCACTCTGTGAATGTGACATATTTAACTCGAGAACGAATTCAGTGATTTAGGACTACTAACAGTGATGACTCTGCCAGAGAGACAAACAGACCAGGCTCACTGTCATAACTAAAGGGGAGAGAGGAAAGTTTTTTATGAAGACCAATATACCAATACTCAATGTCTAAACCAACTTAACAGGATATATAGGACTGTTCCATGTTACCCTGCTTGCCCCCACCATTTTAGCTTCTTTTCTCTGAACCCGCCTTCTGGTTTTCAATAACGCAAAACCTAGCAATGTGCCAAATTAAAACCCTGTCAACAAGCATCTTAATTTAATCCCACGCACTACATAGATGGCACAAACAAATGTGTATTTCTGTGGAGAAGACAGTAAAAGAAAAGCAAGAAAGAGTGGGTAGAAGCAGAGTTTAGCGTAGAGTAGGAGTGGGGTGGAGGGGGGCTCAGGGCAGAAGGAGGAGGTAGTGAAGCCGAGGCAGGCCGAGGAGCCCTGCCCATTGACTGGAGAGAAACTGCTTTGCTGCTGACTCAGGACTCTCTTTGTTTAACAATACTCCCTCACACTCGCTCTCAAACTCTGTGTGCTTTTTTTCTGACAGTCACCTCCTTTTTAACTGCTTCAACCAACAGTGCTCCAACACACTGTTAGTTTGTTCACATCTGTACAACAGTACAGTACAATTCTCTTCTATCTAAAGCCAATACATTTGTTTTCTCATGCTCTGTGATTGAGATCAAAATGAGTCCTGTGTAATTGTATGCTTTCCGAGTTGCAGCAATTTCAATCTTAAGTCCGATCAGTTTGCCAATAGGAGAAAAAAATTCATTCATAAGGAAAAAGAAAAAGATTTAACACCACTGCACTGACACAAGGTGTTTGAGATCAATGTTGTGATATCATAGAAATCAGACAGAAAAGCCTCAATACTGAAGGTCTGGGAGGTGTAAAAAGATAACTGTAACTGGTAAAGAACAGTTTATTTTTCCGCATCAGTGATGGAAAACAAAAGAATATGTGAAAGGGGGCGGGGATCGAGTGGGCAGAGCAACAGGGTACTTGCCAAGCACAATGGGTCCTACTTGTTACTTGTTAGCTAGTGACAGTGTCAGGGATCGTGACAGGGTCCAGACGCTAGACACCAGCTGCAGCGCCTCGTAAATAGACTGCTGTGTCGAGCCACATTTGCACGGCACTGGCTGCACACTCAAGTGCACACTTAGGCATGTGGGCACATGCATACACTAGACACACAGACAGACAGTAACTTATTGTCTCTTTCAAATCTTGTAAAAGGGACAGTGAAGTTCTTTGTGTCCTCTAAGTGAATGTAAAATCTAATCATAGAGTTAAACTATATACTGTATGTACTAGACTGAAAAATCCACAGAATGGAAAGTTGAAGAAAACTTAGTCAGAGAAACTCACAACTTTGGACTTTAGTGCATTTATGCATTAGGATTTGCCATTTCCATTGTGAGAACGCAGATGCAGACAAACTGCACTTGGCCAGTGGTGTCAGGGTAAACACAGAGAAAATAAAAAGCAAAGACCAGTTGAGAAATCCACAGAGTTTGGAGGTGAAAGAGTTAAAGGCACAGGGCTGATCCTGCTGAGCCAGCAGCAATATGTTAAAGTGCCGGTTTCATTGTAGCAGATACAGAAAGAAACTCTTTCCCATTAGTCATGCTAGTAACTGAAAAAGATTCACTGCTTACTGCACTGGTTAACCCTTTATCCATTACCAACAAGACTGAGCTTTCTAAGTAGTAAGTAGCAAAGGTGGCTAAAGTACAAATATGCAAATTAAAATACAAATGATTGCTTATCTTATGATTATACATTAGAGCCATATGTAGTTTAAATAAGTGTTGTGAATGACCGTGGGGGGGGTGTACTCTCCATGGAGATGTTATTGCTTTGCCTGGAATGTTCCACAGTGTGGCATAAAACATATTAAATGAATACAAACAGTACGTGTCCATGTTTTTAAGAGGCGTTTAGCCACAAAAACACTAATAGAGTAAAATAAAGACTGCAACATATTGTCTTTTACTTTTCGAAATGTTAATTGCTATATGGCAATGTTGTTAATTAATAAAATGACTGCCAAGCAAATAAGAACACATTGTCCAGTGTATGCTTATAATACCAAATTCTACTATGTTATTACTATCTTTGAAAATATATAAGATGATTTTAATGGTAGATTTCATAGATGTAATGAATATGGTTTTCTCTTACTCCAGTTTTATCACAAAGTCGTAGTGTGTTGAAGGAGCCCATGGCAAACACCTCTCCATCGGGAGCCCAGGACAAAGAGGTGACTGGGTAATCATGGGGAGATGATGTGTAAAGCAACCGACCAAAGCTGTCCCACACCTATTGGAAAAGCAAGATTTTTTAAAATGCACGCTCAACTGCAAAACTTATCAAAAGGATTCCTTACCTTATATTTACAATCTTCCCCCCCTGATATTATCAAGTCATTGATTGAATTCCAATCAACTTTTAAAATAAGGCCATCATGAGCTTTCCACTGCAAAAAGTATATAAAAATCAAAAGTGAAAAGAAATAAAAGTCAAGCAGATTCCATTAGGGTTAATATGGTAATGTTGTACAGGAACAGATGCTTGTCAAGCCCATTAAATATATATAATTAATGTAAATGAATATAAATGTATAAATGTACAGACACATAAACGTAATAACATGATGACAGGTGTACCTGTATGACTTTAGCACTGGGCTGCAATGGCTTAATAATGAGTTGCCTTCCTGATGTGTACAGAATTCTGTCTGAGTCAGGGCCCCAAGCAACAGAATACACTGTTGAACCTAACAATAACAAAACAAAACAAATATTATACAACTGTGAAAAACTTCACAATTTAGTTTAAAAAATGTGTGAATACTTAATTGAAACAGTTTGAGCAACTTATTCTATCCTTTGGACAGGTTTCCTTTTTCCTCATTGGTTTCAACTCATTCATCCTATGGAATTGCAGGGATACCACCTGGCTAACCAGCATAAGCTCTGCAGTGCAGTTGTACACAGGCATAAGTCTGTGTTTAGAGTGTATGTGCTCAGAGCTAGAGTGTTAAAGGAGGGGTGGGGGGTGACACTTAACCCCACTCCAGGTGCATGCGGTTTCTCACAAATGCCAAGTGGTCACATGATCTAAAACTGACAAAAACTACGAATAAGAGGCACTCACTAGTTCAACATTTTTCTTTGTACATCAAAATTTATGTGTGAGAAGTTTTGTAGTGTTTAACAGTCTATAACAGTATGGTCAGAAATACTTAGAATTACTTGTTCCTTAAATGTTTTTAATGTTTTAATTTTAAAAGTGCATCTCAACTGTCATAAACAATGTTGATGTTAAATTTTTAAGTACCTGGATAAATAAAGTACAAGGGATCAATATTGCCCAAAATACAAGTTTGTACAAATTCTAAACGAAATCCCTGTTGGGAGAACATGGTGATTTGTTTTTGTTCCTTCGTTAAAAAAAAAAAAAAAATCTGTCTTTGGGCCATAGGTTTTGCACATACCTTCTACTCACGCCACCATCCACTATCCACATCTTCCTTTTAGGTTTTAGTTGTTACTTTTGACATTTGAACCACGATATTTAAGTAGGATTGCACCAAGCAAGGTTAACTTAAACATAGATTAATATGAATGTTTTATTATTATCTAATTTAATGAAGTAAAGTATAAGGTCATAAAGTTCAAAAATAACTGATGAAAATCAAAATGAATGGAAACAGATTACTACAAAACTTAAATTGCTTTCATCAGAGTTCAAAGCTGATCCATGTATGCAAGCATTCAGTGCACTGCAATCTTAGCATTAAATCTTAAACTTTTCTTACATTACATTTATTATTTTACAGTTCAGTCTTTCTTACAATATTTGTACCTTGGCTAGCAAGTGTAGATCGCAGCATTCCACTCCTGGACCAAATCTTGATTTGGCCATCCTCCCCAGCTACAAAGGGACAAATTAAGATGTAAACACATTGTTATGAACTATTTATGTTGTAGTGTATATATTCAATGTAAACATACTAAACATACCTGTAATTAGAGCACTACCATCATAGTTCCATCTTCCAGATAGCACAGCTCCATTGTGTGCATCTACACTCTTTTCAATGAGCCCACTTTTAGAAACTAAGTGGAACTTTCCTAAAATAAAGGCCAAAGCACAGTTATGCTTAAGCATAGTGACATACCAATCTAGTCTGTTTTAATAACGTTTTTAAAAAATGTATTTTTAAAATTATTTTAAATATGTGCAAAAGGACATAATTAATTTCACATGGTTTGCCTTAGTGGTGCGATAATGTAATGTAATGTATGAACAGAAACATTATAAATATAATAGGATTGTGGGGAAATTATGAATTTGTAATTATGAAAATGTAACTTTAATAGATACAAGCAAATGAAAACTGCTAAAAAATGCTGTCACAAAGAATACTTGCCATCAGTACTAGTAAGAACGAATATGTCAGCTTGGTTCTGTTTCTTGGAGCCCAGAGTTTTAGGAAACCAGTGGAGTTCAATCGGATAAAAGTCATCTGGAAGCTTGGCAACCAAACTAGTCTCACTAGTTAGCAGGTTCCACTTCAGAATCTGGTGATCTTCACTGCAGGAGTACACTTCATCTGCTGAAGTCCAGCCAACACAACTCACAAGTTCTTTATGTGTGTAAACGTTAAGGGAGGCAATGTTACTATAGTTATTATTGTGCTGTCCCTTGATTCTTAATTACTTACCTTAAAATCTACGTAATTACAATGATTTTCTAATATTAAGATGTAAAAGGATATGTTTTGGCTCCTTTAACAGTGATGTTTTTAGTCTCATGTTGAATACTGATGGATCCTGTGGAGTTTATGAGAAACGCGTTACACAAACTATATCCCGAAAAATAAACAAAACTCCAACGTACCTTCAGTAATCACAGAATCAGTGGTTGGCATGCTCAGGTACTGAAAGATGAAACAAAGAGCGTCCTCAGTTGCTACGGTACCTTATCGGTTGCTAATGCAAAACTTTAGGTGTCCCTAGCTCGCCTGAACTAAACCTACAGGGCAAGTTAACAGAGCGCACATAAAAAAATGACTCCATGAAGAATAAATGCAGTTAGCTGCATCCGTATGAATTTGTAACGCTATCATGAAACAAGCTTATTTTTATGAAACCAAAGATGACAGCTAAGCTAACTATGCCAAGTAGCTATAATCCAGGTCATCGTTTAAAGCGGAGATTTGTTGCAACTAAAACTTTCAATCTAGATTCCAACGCTGATATTTTTAACCTCGATTAAAAAAAAAACTCTTTAGCTAAATATACTTGGGGAATTTCTTAACAAAAATGAGTTTAAATTTTGAAATAAATAGCATGTAGCATCGCTGTTGCCTGATCTGTTGCACTTGTGGGTGGGTCTTTCTATAGTAACTAAGCAACGACGCAAATACGTAAAGCAAGATACAATTTTAAATACATGTAGAGTTTTCCTCTGATTATTGCTTTTAGTGATTTCATATTTACGCATTTCTTGCTGTGTATGTTGTGTTGAAGCTACAAGGGCAGGGCTTCGTTCCCTCTTTTGAATTTTTTTCCGCTTGTCCTTTGAACGTACCATAGTGCTTTGCGTCAGTTTGTAACGAATTTGGTTTGACGGCAGAGTTTAGGCGCCATTTACAAGTAAACCTTTTCGAGCCACCCTTATTTGAATCTCATCTTTGCTTATCGCCACTAAAAGCAAGAGGAAGAAGATTTTTGAGCGCGGGTGTTTGACGGAATGCTACGGAGCTAAATATTGTGGATTATTGTCACGAGCATTTGGAATAACAGCTTTTTACTCCTCGGGATTTATACAAGAAGACTTCGGAAAGCCCTGTGGTCATCGTAGAAGGTACTTAGATACATTTCGTGGAAACTGGATTGTGTTTTATCACATTTTTGAAAGTGAGGTATTTCACACTAGAAGTTGTCTTAGATTTAAGCAATAACACAGCTAAAAAGCGCCAACATTGATGTTCTGTTGAAGTCAAAGAGTCAGTACAAAGACAAGATGCTCTCAGGATACTACTGTACTATGCCTGCAATGTAATAGACATAAAGATACAACAAGACGGTGCACTGTTATTCCCTTATGTGTTCTTACTATTTTTTATGATGCTACTGAAATTACTTTTTACAGAATGAACAATCGGATTTTATTTGCTGAACAAATTCGTGTGTTCAGAACAGAAGGATGACATGGCATAATTTAAGTCTAAGAAATATTTTTGATTAAAAAAAAAGTAAGAAAGTAAAAATATCTAATGATACAGCTTTTGTGTTCTCGACCACAAGCCTTTTGTATAATTAAGATACATTTAATTTAGCTTGAAGGTGTCTTACTGGAACTTTATTAATGCTCACCGTAGACCATGGCAGTATAATAGACTCGTGCCATACATCCACAGGCTGCGTCACAACGTCAGTGCACATATCTGGTCAGTCCAACACAGGGCACCGTAACAGAACAAGTCAGACTGGAGCAAATGTGAAAAGAGAGGCTGTTTACAGTCTGGAGAATAAATCAGACGAGTGAGAAAGGGTAGATATTTTCTTTGTTTTAAAAACAATTAAATACAAACGTAATCTTAATAGACTGTGGTGTAAACTACAAATATACTTGGTGACATGCATCCACGTTGCAAAAGTAGTTCAGGTTAGTGGGTAAACTTGGTCACAAATTGTTGTTTTGATATTTTTTGTTTGTTTTGGAAATAACTACAATGTTATCAACACGATTTTGTAGAAAATGCTGTTATAATATACAAGTTTGTAAGACATAAAGCGCAAAAACACTCACGGTCTTTTTTACCATCCTCGTCAGATTTAAAATCATGCCGTCTAAAACTGCGAAAAGCTCCACTGCCTCTGCCAAGCCGAGAGGGAAAGGGTCGCAGCCTCGGGATGACTCCGAAGACGAGCTGGATGTACCCCCTCCACAAACCAACGCCAATGGCCAAGAGGAGGCACCGACAACTGGCAAGTAACACACGGTCATGATGCTTTTGGATCTGTCTGCTTCTCGAAATGGAGATTACGTCCTGTGCTGTCTTTTCTTGCACATTGACATAGTCCGCTTGAATGGATTGGATTGCGAGGCTCTAAAACTCCATATGTACGTTCATGAGTGTCCGGTATTTTTAAGCACCACTCCTCAATACATACGTTTTCATCTTTTTGCATATTCTACTATTTTATGGATGAAATTCTTATATGGACTACCTCTGGCTATAAGGTAAAGATGTAAACGGCTGGTGTGCTTGAGAATACTTTACTCATTTGTGACCACTGGTTATTAACATTAAGTTTAGACATCGAAAGAAAACGCTATAATAAAGTACTAGGTTCTGATCTGGGAGTGCTAGTTTGCATAATTATACACTAGTGTGATCGTGAGCACAATAGATTTTGGACAGTTCGACGAGTGTTTGTGTGCCACGTTCTGTGTCTAAAACTTTCCTCTGTTTGCTCTGAGTGCGGTACTTCACAGGTGAAGTGCAACGCATGCGATTGAAATAATCTAATTATTTCTCCTCCAGGGGAATGAAAGTGGCGCTTCTACGTGTCTTCTTGGGGAGAGCGTTCATAACACGCTGTGTCGTAGGCGGATAGCATTCTGTCTTTGTTTTGAACCCTTGTTTTATGAAGTAGGATAAAACTAATTCTCGGAGGTCATTGTACGAGTGCCGTTGTGTGACTTTGTCACTGGTGTTTGTTTGTTTTCACGTTGTACCCCTCCCCCATGCACCACTCGCCCCCTCCACCTGAAAGTGACGGCTAAAGTTGTACTGTGTGTGTGTGTGTCTGTGTGTGTCTGCGTATGTGTGTGTGTGTCACAGACCCTTCTCAGGGAGAGCCTGTCGAGGCGATTGACAATCGGAGTTTGGAGGAGATTCTTGGTAGCATCTCTCCACCCCCGCCCCCAGCAATGACCAATGAACCTGGCGCTCCTCGGCTCATGATAACACATTTAGTCAATCGCAACTTTAAGTCTTATGCAGGCGAGCAGATACTGGGACCTTTTCACAAGGTATGACCATACATCCCAAATATGGAATTATATTTGTTACACTGTAACTTGTCAGTTGTGGTCACCAGTTATTATTTAAGTTCAACTTAAAGCAATATTTTGCAACCAATAGATGTTCTGTAAGTATGTTCATTTGGGATTTGTTAGCTGACAAGCTTATTCAAAATCATGTAAAGTAAATGACTTTGGTAAATTACTGTGATTTCAAGCTGTACTATTCATCCCATATACCTTATACCTATTTTTCCTTCAGCGTTTTTCCTGCATCATTGGCCCAAATGGGAGTGGCAAGTCCAATGTGATAGACTCCATGCTCTTTGTGTTCGGATATAGAGCTCAAAAGATCCGGTCCAAAAAGATGTCAGTACTGATTCACAGCTCTGACAAACACAAAGACGTCCAAAGCTGCACTGTGGAGGTGCACTTCCAAAAGATTATTGATAAGGTATTGGAAAACAATACACTCAATCACACAGTTCACTTTGGGCTTTGACAAACTTGCAGAATAAATGTCATGTTAGTTAACACTGAATATTGATGTTAAAAAAATAAATAAAAAATTATGAACTTATTTTCACGCTCTCTCAAAAAAAAAAAATTACTGCTTGATATGAAATTGATTTAAGCAAAGTGGTATTTGATGTATATTGTTTTGAAAGTATAGTCAGTTTGAGTTTAAGTTTTTACAAGGCTGCTTGTAAAAAAACTAAAATTGTCATGTCAACTTTGTTGAAAGGCTAAAATGAATAAAAAAAAAATGCAAATGCAGTGTAAAAGAAATGGCACATTAACAGACTTGAGATTAGAGTAGTAAGTGTGTGTGTGTGTGTGTGTGTGTGTGTGTTTGTAGATGAGTGAGTGCAGAGTGTGGCTATTTCTGTAAGAAGGTTCATCTCCTTGACTTTATTTTAAAAACTAAAACATTTAGTTAAATATTATATACAGGGTGTAAGTGGTGTAATTTAATGTACTTTTGTTTTTAATATAAATTTAGTGACTACTTTTTCAGGAAAAAAATATTAATGTTTGTTTTAAAATAGAAAATATCCCTAACCTTATGAATATTGAAGAGACAATGTCGATTTTATTTAGTGTGAACAGTTGTATTGGGTTTCATATGAAGTGGTGTGCTCTAAGCTGCTCTGTCTTCTGCCCCTCCCCCCTTTTGAGCCAGGAAGGAGATGACTACGAAGTCATCCCCAACAGCAAGTTCTATGTTTCCAGAACTGCCAACAAAGATAATTCTTCCTCCTATTACATTAATGGAAAAAAGGCCACATTTAAAGATGTGGGCGCATTACTTCGAAGTCATGGTATTGACCTAGACCACAACAGATTTTTGATCTTACAGGTAATTGCAATTTGTTTTTATCACTGCACTTGTGATCACTTTAATTTCTACATGTTGCTTTGTTTTTATTTCACGTTTTTTGTGGATTGAAAAGGATGTGCCTTTGCCAGCCCTTAGACTGCTATAGCAGCGCATCATGGTTTGAAACAATGAGGAAAAGGTGCGAACCATTATTTGCTGCTTTAGAATTTTAAGGAAAAACTTTTGGTGACTTTAAGGGGTGTGGGTGCTATTGTTTTAACAATTTGATCTTATTTTCCCTCCTTCTTTAAAGTTCCTCCCACGCTGTAGCAGCACGTAAATATTGGTGTGCAAAAGTGAGACCCCAATATTGGCATTGCTGCTTCAATGTGGTGGGATCAAACACCATTCATTTTCATTCAAGACATTCGAAACTTTGTCATTAAGACTTTTTTCTTACTATATGTATGTATATTTTCTTTTTATTGTATTTATTTATTTATTTATTTTATTTTGAGAATGTTTGCAAATGAGCTGTTTTTGGTAAAATACATGTGGTGTGTTATTACTGAAAAACTTGAGGCAGATGGAGTAAATTCAGTCATATTCAAGCTGAGCAAAATTACCTGTTAAATTGAGATTTTCATAAAGTTCCAGTTTAGAGCCACTTTATTATTGTGTTATTTGGTTATTAGTTTTATTGTAGTTAGTTTGTGTATTACATGTGTCCAGCTTGAGTGTGCAGATGTATTTATGTAGAGGCTTAATGTCACTGACGGACGTAGCCAGCCATAGGTCTGTCCTGTTTGCAAGAGTATGTAGAGAATGTCAAATTATAATTGAGATTCAGTCATTGAGTAATTTTAATTGAGAGATCCTCAGCCATCCTGTCATTAAAAGCAAGTGGTTTGGAGTAGAGTTCAGACTTGGATGAAGAAATATAAAATGTTTTTTTCCTCAAATATAATCCAGTAAAACTGTGATGATAAATAAAAGCAGGGGGTGGTCTGATAGGTGTGTGTGTATATATATATATATATATATATATATATTTTTTTTTTTTTTTTTTTTTAACCCAGCCTTTCTTGTAAGCCTCTGGCATGTATGCTGGACTGTGAACAGCAGTGTGTTTTTTTTTTTTTTTTTTTTTTTTTTTTTCCATCCCAAGTACCAATAATTGATGAAAAGTATTCATAAACATTTTTTATTTGATTGACTTTTCATGTAAACTCCACTATCAAGCATCCTTTTTTATATTTAAAATGATAATGCTCCCCCCCCCCTCAATGACTGCACTGTGTGTGTTGGTGCTGGAATCAGGGTGAGGTGGAACAGATTGCTATGATGAAGCCAAAAGGACAGACAGAGCATGATGAGGGTATGCTCGAGTACCTGGAGGACATTATTGGCTCTTGTCGACTTAAGGAGCCCATCCAAGTCCTGTCCCGTCGCATTGAACTGCTGAATGAGCAGAGAGGAGAGAAGGTACCCTCAGCGTAAATTTTTTAATTTTTATATTAAATACACTGAATTTAAGTTAAACCCAGTAATGACATTAAAATTGACCAAGTTTATTGTTATTTTTAATGCATTTAAAAAAAATCCCTTTAGCTTAATCGAGTAAAGCTGGTGGAAAAGGAGAAGAATGCTTTGGAAGGGGAAAAGAACAAGGCAGTTGAGTTTCTTACTTTGGAGAATGACATATTCAAACTCAAGGGCCAGCTTTGCCAGTACTATGTGTAAGTACACAAAATATTTAATATTTAAATCCGTATCCTTCTATAATGTTTTAAAATTATTGTGATTGTATTTACTTTATGGATATCAAATCATAATATTTTATTTGTATTTATTTTATTTCTGTTTAGACATGACCTGCAAAAGCGTGTGATGGATAAAGAGCAAGAAAAAGTAAAGATTCAAGATGATACGAAGGAACTTACAGAGAAGAATGCAAAGATATCTCAAGAGATTGAGAAAATGAATCAAGAGCTTAAGAATGTTGAAAAGTTTGTAGATTTTCAAAAATAGTATATATTGTATTTTATTTTTATTCATATATATATATATATTTTATCATTTAGCAAAAATATAAATAGGTAAAAAGCGAAACATTTTTAAATGTATTTTTTCAGAAAACAAAATAAACTTGACAAGTACATTGAGGCTCAAAAGGAGAAGTTCACCCAGCTGGACCTTCAGGATGTAGAAGTTCGTGAAAAGATTAAACACTCCAAAATTAAGAACAAGAAACTACAGAAGCAGTTGGAGAAAGACACAGAAAAGGTTTGTCACCTTCCTTCAATGCCCAGTCAGCAACACATGATGTCAATGGTTTTCAGTAACAGGAATCTGTTCTTTACAAGGGAGAGGCAAACTCCGAATCTGCTACAGCAGCATGTTTTATTTATTTTACCAGGAATTACCACAGATTTTGGTGTGCTTTTTAAATTCATATAAAGTTTTACATTAGGTTTTTAAATTATCTTTATGACAATACATCTTAAATACTTTTAATGTGCATTATGTCACTGTAGAATTAATTATGCAATGTTATTAATTTGATATATTTTTATTCTACTGGCCTTTTTATTCTAACTTTTCTTCATAAGCAACATTCATTAAGTTTACTAGCTGGATGGGGTGGTTGAATAGACCACTAGGGGGCTGTGACGTAACGGTTATTAACTGGTGTGTGGCCACTAATATTAAATGCCCTTAATATTACCAATGCTTGCTTCAACCACACTCAAACGATGTGATGGTTCCCCTCTAACACTAGATACATTTACAATGCACAGGCACTGCTGGTGTTATGGGCTTACTGAGTCTGATTTGTGAATACCAGCAAAATCATGTTTCAACTAAAGCTGCTACTAACTTAAAATTAATAATCACATACTGTATATAGCACTTTATCAATTCTGTTCTTATTGATAGTGAAGGATGTGTAATTTGTGCTGAGAAATTCACAAAATGCAAAAGAAGAAATGTTGTATTTGTTGATCATAAATTCAATAATGAATCGTGTTTAAAAACATTTTAGTTGGAGGAAGTGCGTAAAGTACCAGCCAACAGTGAAAAGGCCATCTCTGAAGCAGCTGCTCGTAAAGAGGAGCTAGAGAAGAAGAAGGCAAAAGAAGAGGAAAAACTAAAGGAGGTGATGGAGAGCCTGAAAGAAGAAACCAGTGGTTTGCAACAAGACAAGGAGGTGTGAAACATGCTGAACTATTACTTGAAAGAACACATTTGACTCTGTGTGTAATGCTTCTTCATCTCTCAGTGTAAAGAAAAGGAGCTTATGGAGCTGAATAAGGCTGTAAATGAGACCCGTTCTCGCATGGACCTTGCTCAGTCAGAGCTGGATATCTATCTGAGCCGCCACAACACTGCTGTAACCCAGCTGAATACTGCCAAGCAGACCCTCCAGACCACCTCTGGCACACTGCGTGAGAGACGTGCGGCCATTAAAGACCTGGAAGTGAAAATACCACAGAAAGAAGAGGCTCTTAGAAAGGTTAAAACATAAATACACTTGTGGACAATGGTGTTAAGATGAGAAGACTTGAGTTTCTCTTGTCATGACTGTCCAGGATGAGGCTGAGCTGGAGCAGCTTGTGAAGGTCGATAATGAGACCCGAGAGTGTGTTCGGGAAATGAGACAAAAAGTTGATGAGGCTAAAAGCTCCTTGTCTTCAAACCGCAGCCGTGGGAAAGTTTTGGATGCTCTTATGCAGCAAAAAAGGAGTGGCAAAATCCCCGGCATCTTGGGCAGACTGGTGAGATTCATCCCATTGTTGCATATGTCTTGTCATTGTAAAGGTGTTGGCCCACAGTCAAGCAACCTTGTGTGTTACTGTTAAATATGCATGTGGTTGCAGGGTGATCTCGGTGCCATTGAGGAGAAATACGATGTGGCCATCTCATCCAGCTGTGGTGCTCTGGACAACATTGTTGTTGACACCATTGATACTGCTCAAAAATGTGTCACATTTCTTAAGGAACAAAACATTGGAGTGGCTACTTTCATTGGGCTTGACAAGGTGAATAATTTGAAAGATGTGATGTTTTTGGGATATCCATTAGTGATGCCCTTTTACTTGATTATTAGATGAAAGTTTGGGAAAAGAATATGGTACCCATCAAGACACCAGAGGACAGCCCGAGGCTGTTTGACATGGTGCGAGTAAAGGACGAGAGTGTACTGCCAGCCTTTTATTTTGCCCTTCGGGACACGCTCGTGGCCAACGACATGGAGCAAGCCACTCGAATGGCCTTCCAGAAAGACAAGCGCTGGAGAGTGGTTACACTCAGGGGACAAATCATTGAAATGGCTGGTAGGCACCCCATTTAGTTTTTACATTGTCAATATTCAAATATTGAAGATTTGACAATTGCTGTGTGTCATAGGCACTATGACTGGAGGAGGAAGAGTGATGAAGGGACGAATGGGTTCTTCTATCAGCACAGAGGTCTCTCAGGAAGAGGTATACTTTAGTTTCTCAAAGGTCACTTTTGAAGTCAAAATGCATTGCCGTTTGATCGGGGGAGGGGGTGCCACACAATGCTACTTGGTCTGTGGGAAACATTGGACAGTGACTTTAGTTTATAAAACTATCATATTGTATCTGAATGTTGCATCATAGATGATTTCACTAATATAGATTAGTACATTTTATGTACAACTTAAAATGTACTGCCATTCTTGAAGTAAAATCAAGTTTCTCAACTGTTCCTTAGCTCAACCGAATGGAAAGCAAACTGAACGAGAAGGTGACCAAGCTCCAGGGCTGTCAGGAGAGGAAGCTGCAGCTGGAGGAGAGCATCCAGCGCCTTAAGCCAGAGCTCAGAGACATGAAGAACACTCTGGAGAAATATGCCAACAGTCTGACTGTATGATACCCACCAGTCACAATACACAATACTTGGTCCTCTGTTTACTCCTGAATGTAATATTTTTCATCCAACTATTTCAGAGTCTAGCAGATCAGGAGACTCATCTAAAACTTCAGATTAAAGAACTTGAGGCCAATGTGTTGGCTGCTGCTCCTGACAAAACCAAACAGAAGCAGCTGGAGAAGAGCCTGGAGGCTTTCAAAAAAGGTAATATCCTGAAATAAATTAGTCAGTTTAGGAGGTTTGGCGACTTTTCATCAGGAAATGTGAATATATCATATTATGATGTGATATTATTTATTTATTTATTTACACTTTGATGGTGGGTGTTTCAGATTTTGAGGCAGCATCCAGTAAAGCTGGAAAGGTAGATGCTGAAGTGAAGCGGCTCCATAATTTGATTGTGGAAATCAATAGTCACAAGCTGAAGGCTCAACAGGACAAACTCACCAAAGTCAACAATGAGCTGGATGAATGCTCCTCCATCATTACCAAAGCCCAGGTGGCCATTAAGACGGCTGATCGGTGAGAGTGGTTTTACTGTATTCTTGGAGTATACAGCGGGTAAAAATTGCATTTGATAACTCCCCATCTGAGCAACATATGTCCGCTATCCATGTTCTCAACAAAAGGGGCCTTAAATTTCAACGTTTGTCTGTAAGGAAAGCTTTAAGTATTATGATTTTGCCCAATTCCCAATCATTTTATTTCACATTTTTACACAATTTATCAAGGGTTATTGGTTTAGCTATTGGAAAAAAATATATATATTATTCTAAAAACCTGAAATGGGTATTGAATAGTGTTTTTTTTTGTTGTTGTTGTGGCTTTGTTTGTGAGAAAATATTTTCTTGTACCTGGATAACTTTAGGGTTTCCTGTATAATGATTCTGTAGTCTAACCTGTCTTTGGCTCCATGTTCTTTTCATTTTCTCTTTTGCAGTAATTTAAAGAAGTGTGAGGAGAGTGTGAGTCGTGTACAGAAGGAGCTGGAGG